CTGAAAAGTTGGATTTTAAAAGGGAATCTTTTTCAGGAAAGTACTGGTTTCTTCATTGACATTTTACTACACAATATTATGATTATCTTTTTGAACAGTCACACTCTTAAACTGTTAGATTTAAGCTTAAAAGTGACGAATGGAAGTTAGAGCTGTTTTTTACGGTTTTTTCTTTTTTGAAATCTTAGAGCATTTGAATTTAGCTTTGCGTTTTATTTTTTATTTTGGAAAAAACTGCTGTGCTTTTTTCTGGTGTTCTTTATTTCACTAATATCAGAATCAAATCTTATTTTACTAGGTGGGATCCCGCGATATAGAAACTAGTTTCACTTTTTTCTCTTTTCCAATTTTACTCTATTTTTTACCTTGCGCTGTTAAATTTATTTCCTTTATAAAAGGCAACTCAAAGTAACTAACTTTTTAGGTGTTTTGGGACAGACGTTACGATTGACGGACACTCAAGAGAACCTGGAAGTTTCTTAAAAAACGTTACCAGTGCTTCATTTGAAAACAAAAACCCCAAATTAAACTTTGACGATTCACTTTCTCCGCTCACTCTTGTCTCTACAAGTACCTATCCTGAACCACCCACTGTTGGAGAAGTGGATAACCCTGATAAATTAATCTCTTCATTTGTTTTGAATTGTTTTAATAATTTGTGAGAGTATGGTAGCATTGTAGTGTTTCAGTTAAATAAATTTCAGTGTGTTTAAAAACATGTCTACTTTCTTGATTGTGTCGTAGTAAATGACTTTTTGAGATGTAGATTTGTTACTTTCTGTTTTCTGTTTGTTGTGCACAGTTTTTTGTTGCATTTCTCGTTTGTACTTAGATGGTTTGTTTTATTTTAAAAGTTTCTGCTTTTGAAGTTTTGACTTATGACTTTTTATATAAGGCAAGAATTCCTTTCTGTTTTATAAATGTGACTCAGTTCTCTTTTTTAATTTTTTTTTTTTGAAGTCATTTTCAGTGCAAACTTGATTAAGGTTCCTATTTCTTATATTTCTGTGTTTTCAGGTTGCGAGAAACATGCTTATGGATTTCGAGGATCACTTGGTTCAGCTCCTCCAAGAGAGGGGTTTTATGGATCAGCGGGAGGTGACAGTTCAGAATGGTGTATTTATGACAGCGGGAACCTATCTCAAACTTACGTTGCTCTTTGTTTGCTCCTTATACTGGGTGATGACCTTTCGAGGGTAGACAAGCGAGCCGTGCTTGATGGTGTTGGCTGTTGCCAGCTTCCTGATGGGAGGTAATATTCACTTGAGGGTTTTTTCCTTTTTTTTCTAAGTCGTTGAAACTTTATATCCTTACCTTATCAGATTCTCTCTCACATCAATAAAACAATTGTTTTGAGTCGTTTACTAAAACGATTTTACTTCTTTTTTTGAAATTCTTCAGTTTCTGTTCCCAGCAAGGCTCTGAAAGCGATATGCGTTTTGTGTTTACTGCAGTAGCGGTTTGCTTCATACTAAATGACTTTTCTACGATTAATATTCCACAGATGTTAGACTATATCAAAAAGAGTGTTAGTTATGATGGTGGCATAGGTCAGGGTCCAGGTTTAGAAAGCCATGGTATAATTCTTTGTTGAATTACTGTTGCGTTTCCTTTAATACTTCTTTCTTTGCAGTCATTTACGTTTACTGTTGAAAGTTTTCTACCAGCGTGAGGTTTGGCAGTTTTTTAGGAGGTTCGACTTATTGTGCTGTAGCATCTTTGTTTTTAACTGGCAACCTTTGGACAAATACAGTATTAAACCGGAGGCAAATAGAAAGGTTAAAAAAGTGGTGCTTAATGAGACAAAGTGAGGGTTTTCATGGTAGACCCAATAAACCAGACGACAGTTGCTATGCGTATTGGATTGGAGCAACACTTGAGGTGTTCTCATTCCTCAAGAAAGTTTTTTTAAAAAAAGTTTTTTGCAGTTTGATTTTAAACATTATCTGCTGTCATGTTTTTAGCAACTATCATTTTACAATATTCGTTCTCGTTCTTGTTTAAGATGCTTGATGCTCACTCATTTTTCGACCACACTGCCCTCAGAAAATTTCTTATGTCAGTGCAAAATCAGTACAGCGGATTTGCGCGTAATCCCGATAGCCTTCCCGGTTTGTTTCAAGTGTTTAATTTAGATTTTTGGGCCAGCAAAACTCTGATATAAGTAGGAAGTGGAGGAATTCAATTTCAGATCTTCTCCACACGTACTTCAGCATCGCTGGGCTTTCGCTTATTCAAGAACCCTTTTTATGTCCTCTTTATTCACCACTGAATATCAGTCGAAGATCATATGAACGCTTGTTAAAGATACATTCTTATTCTCATCTGCCGATAACTTAGTTTTTGTAATTTTACATGTTTTAAACAGCTAACTTGACTTTATAAATAAACTTTCAACCAAAAAAAGCGTGAAGGCGAGGGTTGGTTTCTTACTTGTCATGAATCCCACGAAAAAACATTACCTAAATTCGATTAAATTACGGTTTGCTTACTGATATCATTTTTCCAATGACGGGTTTCTGATTTTTTAGTTAACCAGTATTGTATAAACCCCGCTGTATCTTCCAGAAAATCAGAGTGTGTTCGCTAAGGTGAGTGTTTGCCAGACTTTCAGATACTACTTGTTTTATTACAACTGTTGTTTACTGTTTAATGACATCTAGCTCTTACTATGAAATCATTTTTTTGCAAATTATTTATATAAATTTGTTTCAACTTCTGGGCATTTTGACTAAGACTTTCATGTTCCTTGAAACTTTTGTCTTGTTAAAACTATATTTCTAAAAGGATGAACTCTTTTATGAATGCTGCTCTGGCAAGAGACTATTTTTACAGTCGACTGCGTTTCTGTCTTAGCCCTTTGTCTGTGATGGATTACCATGATCAAGTTGCATTTGTAGTAGTACGTTTTTGACTGTGAAAAAATCTGTTTGCAAAACGCTTGTAAAGAATAGTTTAAAAACAATTGGTTTTTATGACACGCTTGTTTTATAGTTGTGTGAATTGTATATTATTTTTTAGGTGCTCATAAGACTTTAGGTTTTTGAAGTTATGTCGTTCTTGTCGTATTGAGTGGAAAAAAGTTTTTACCGGTCCATTACTGCACTAACAGTGTGCGAGAAGTTTTAAAGAAAATGCATAAACGCAAATATCACGACAGCTGAACTAAAACATTCTGTATATCCTCATCTACGTTTATTAGGGGAATTTTTCTGTTGTAATCGTTTAAATAGCAGTCTTAAAGGTTGAAGGTGGTTTATTCATATTTAAGAAAAGTGAGTAAGCTTTGGAACTGTCGAAAATGTGACATTATATAATTTTACAGGAGGTCATACTCATAAAAAAACGATCAGGAAGCTGATTTTTAGGGTTCTGTTGAAAAGTTAGCAGTAAAAAATATTAAGAATTGTGAAAATGGAGGGAAGATAACGTTCCTAGTAAGAGACGGCGTCGCAGCTGTTCTGAGAAATTGCTGGTTTTCCAAGGCAGTTACTGGGAGATCAGTGTTGGACATCAAAGGAAAACCCAGGTCGCTTTATTATTCTAGATGAGATGCTTGCTAGGGGTTCTAACTTTTGGTTCTCTTTGGCAAACGACCGAAGAGTGGAAAGTGTTTTGTATGATAAGTTTTTTAGTGAGAGCGGTTATGTGAGCGGACGGTTTCAAAGTGCTGTTAGTCACTGTAGTTTTCTAAATTCAGTAATGATAGTTTTAACTATTTGAAATCTGTACTGGGCTATTATCTAGCAGTTTAAATAAATCTTCGACATTCACTTTTGTTGGCGGATGACCAGGTTCCTTGCGGATGACGTTTTAATGATGGCGGGAGCAATTTTTGAAAAAAATGACAGACGGTGACGGCAGGAACAGGAACAGTGTGATAAATGCATATCTTAACTTAGCTAACACAAAAAGCATTCTAATGAGGAGTGTCAAAAGTAGCACAAATGACGGTTGAAACGATCACTGGACGGACAAATTACGTCGTGATTTGTGTTAGAACCTTTAAAAATGATGCCCATTTTATCGGTTAAACTGTCTTATTTGAAATATACTGGACAATTAAGGTTTTCAATAATTGTTTATTTATTTCTTCCACCAAAAATAATTTTGTACATTAGGTACATCTCTATCTCGTTTGTTCTGCTGGTTTTCATTAGCTACTTTGAAAATGTTACAAAAAAAAAAACGGAAAAAGTTTTCAGCTTTATGTTGATTTTAATGTCTATTTTCGGCGGTGACTAACCACACAGTTTGTAAATAAAATAGTTGAAAAGTCTAGAATAAAACTTTTGCAACTTTACTGTTTCGCGACTGCTAAATGTAAAACATGTTTCAGTCCCCACAGTTCTTTTTAAGGAAAACATTCGTTTTCAGATTGCCTTGCATCAAGACAGCCAAATAACAGCAAAACACTGATGCAGCTTAACAATCAAGTTGAAAACAAGGCAAAGTATTTTTTTTCCCCCAAAATTTTTTATCTTTCTGTTTTTAAGAACAACAACAACAAGAAACGAGGAGATGCTTATTTCTGTTACATTTGAACATCAACACAAATCTTTGCTTTCATATTTTTATGTGCAAGCATTCATGAAAGAGGATCAACATGACAGAGCATGTGCTATGCAAATTGAAATTGATTTTTTTCCTTACCGAGGAGCTTCCAGCAGTTAACAACGCAAAATAATGCAAAGCGGAAACCAAAGTGTTTGATTGACGAAAACACTCAGTGGGGATTTGCGAGCAAAAAGGTCGCCAGCTATCAACGCTTTATTATCAAACCGGCATTTTTTTCATCAACTGTTTTTTTTTTTTTTTTT